TGTTTATGTATGTCTAGATATATTATGAATTGATTTCTTCAATAAGAGTAAAACAACTGTATGAAATCCACATTCAACATGGAGCTGAAGGTGAATGAAGTAACCAACCGTTGAAGGGAAGAAATTTTCTCAAGGGAGGTGAGCATGCAAAATTTGTCATTTGAAAGATTGCAACGTCGTTTAATTTTTTTTTTAGCGACTTAAAGAGAGTATAGTAAAGTCTTTTACATGGTAGTGAGACTCACACCGGAACAATATTCCTGGTCCATAGTAAGGTGTTGTCACTTTTTCTTGCAAAAGAGGAAATAATTTCTCTATCATCGAAAATGAGGAAGGTGTTTCATACCTTGTCTTGACTCAAACAAAAAGTAAGGCAATTACTGTTTGACATGATTAAGTTTTTGAGTGATAAACTAAAATTGGTTTCTGTTGCGCGGGTCCACCATACTTTGAAGAGGTACGATCTTATCAACTTAGTCTTAGAAGGGTGTGAATGAGGTTGTCATTCTTTGTCCGATGAGACCATCAAGGTACGAGCATGAAAATCGGAGGGAGATGTGGTGAGACTCAATTATAAAGCGGGGAACACTTAAAACTTTCATTGTAGCGACGTGTCAACCCAAATGTTTGAACTAATCAGCATTGCTAATGGCCGAACGAAAAATCTTTTAGCCATCAACAAGCACGGAGGAAGATAGTTAACTTTATTTGACCTTACTTATACTTATGCTTGCCCCATTCTCATGTTTGATAGCCCGATTATTGTCCTTACTATCTCACCCCTGCCTAGGTCCTGCTTAGCGTTGCTCGCATCATGATTTTCTTAATCATATTGGCGCATTGTGTTAATTTATAGTTCCTGCTTAGCGTTGTTCGCATTATAATTTCCTTAATCATATTGAAGCATTGTGTTAACTTATGTATTGCATTATTGTATCATTTACTTATTAACTTCTCCTAACCATAGGTTCGCGAGTGTTGTATTACCTATGAGTAAATATTCATTCGGTGTTCCGCCTAAGACACACGAGTAAGGAATCGACTCAGGAAAATGAGGTCGATAAGGAAGGTCACTGTATGAGCCTATCTACTTCACAAGAGAGGAAAAAAAAAGAGAAAGGAGATGGTATTGGATTGTGAGGTTATCAAGGTGACGAACACAAACATACGACCTCCTTAGGTGAAGTGACTTAGCACCTTTTGCAAAAAATATTATATTGTTCCTTACCATGCTTTAAACTATTTTCATGTACAAGATTATCCTTCTTCCATATCCATCATACCTCATTTTTTAATGCTTAACCGTCTTTCTTCAACTGTCTCGCCTTATATTTCCACCGCCATCGTGCGTCCTGATCCACCATTCGTTTTGTAAGTTGTACCAACGGATCATTACTTATGTATTATGCTTACATTTTCCTTTTATGCCATGACGATTTATGCAGGGTTGTCTCTTAACCACCGTACAGGGGGATTGAGTTTGAAAGACAAACATAGAGGGATTGGGTGTTGCTTGTCCTAAGCTAACAAAACTGAAACGTTAGTTCTAATGAGGTTAGAATCTCTTATTCTGATCATTGTAAAAATTTAAGGAAGGACAAGATAGAATTGACTTAAACCATGATTTTCACACCGTGAAGATTAATGCAATATTGTCTATTTTTTGTGTCTCATCATTATAGTACCTCTCCTGAGTGACGAGAAAAAAGTCTCATTAAGGTAGAAAAAGACACATGATGCGTACTATTAGTTCTATTTTGAAGTTATATTACGTATATAATGACGAATATACCTCTTGAACCCTGAGGTGTATAACAGTTAGACTACCTGCTTCAAGACCACGCGTGTTCGCGAGGTCATGCGTCATGTATATCGATTATAAGATTGTAAATTTAAACTAACCATTTTTTATTATTGCTCACAGGATTTGAATCGATCATCCGATTCTTAGGGCTATATGATATAGGTCCTGACGATAGACTCGATCTCTCGATAATAGTCAAACTCAATTAATTGTATCGTGCAAAATATGAGTCTTTGACTATCTATTTAAAATAATTATCCTCTCTGAAAGCGTACTGATTGTAGTGAAGCTGTGAGAATATATAAAGTTGCTTAATTGTCGTCGTTATGATGTGGCAAAGTCATCTACTTAATGAGTACATTTAAGTGGTAGTGAATTAACATATATGTGGTGTATGCTGATATAGAAAAACCTCGATATTTGGTACAACTTTCAAAAGTAATCTTAAAAAAACTGATCATAATCATAGTATGAGATGGTATGAGTAGACAAATAAAATAAAGGTAAGTAATACTATGCTTCGTTATCCCAATAGTTAGAGACCGACTTGTTAGTATTAATATAATTATAACATTATGTCAATGCGATATAAAATTTAGTTGGTAAGATTGTTGATTGGAAAAATATTCAACTTCAACCCTTAGAAGATTATAAAATATAAAGTAATTATTTCATCATGCGCTTAGTGATTGATTAATCCTTAGGGACAAATAGTATAGCAACCATAATACTAGTTTATTTACTTGAAAAATATGTATCCGTTTGAGGTTGTATATAATAGAGTATGGTAATGAAGTAGCTTTAAAAGTCATTGCATAAATAGTCCGATTAAATTGATCTGATTCTTGAAAAGTATATGAATATTCTTAAACATTATTGATTGGTTACACATAGAAAATTGTATCATGAGACTATCTACTTAAGTAACTATCTCCTTTAATACTGTACTCAATCTGATCAGAGTATGAGAGTATCCACTTAAAGGTTATCCAACGTCTCAAAATTACAGTATTATATAAAATTGATAAAACTTGTTAGTATTAGTATGGTAAATATGTATGAATGTGTATGAATGAATGTATGTGGGAATACATAATATATGTTTCAAGTGATGTATCATTGCATGTCTTGTTCTTTGTTCTGTGAAATTTGTAACTTGTTATGTATACATATTTGTTAACTGCTTGATGTATGTTTGTGTATGTCTGGATATGTTGTGAATTGTTTTATTCAATAAGGGTATAAAACTTGTATGAAATCCACGTTCAGCATGGAGCTGAAGGTGAATGAAGTGATCAACCGTTGAAGGGAAGGAATTCTTTCAAGGGAGGTCGACATGCAGAATCTGTCATTTGAAAGATTGCAACGTCGATTGATTTTTTTTCTTAAGCGATTTAAAGAGAGTAAAGTAAAGTCTTGTATGTGGTTGAGACTCATGACGGAACAATGTTCCTGGTCCATAGTGAGATGTTGTCACTTTTTCTTGCAAAAGAAGAAATAATTACACTATCATCGAAAAGGAGGAAGGTGTTTCATACCTTGTCTAAACTCAAACAAAAAGTAAGGTAATTACTATTTGGCATGAACAAGTTTTGAACTGATAAACTAAAATTGGTTTCTGTTGTGTGGGTCCACCAAACTTTGAAGCGGTAGGATCTTATGAACTTAGCCTTAGAAGGGTGTGAATGAGGTTGTCATTCTTTGCCTCATGAGACCGTCAAGGTACGAGCATGGAAATCGGAGGGAGAATTTGATGTGGTGAGACTCAATCCTAAAGCGGTGCCGGGTACTTCAGGCCGACAAAAAGAAGATAAAAGTTGTCATTTTTAGAGGCTCGGTAGGTGTAGGCGATGTCGTTCTCCGTATGTACACATAAGTCACAGGTAGGCGGACCAATCAAGAGGCAAAATCTTTTTAATCCTAGTTTAATCATAAATAAACCTGGCCAGCGAAGTAAAAGAATCACGAGTGCCTCAAATTTGCACGGCCACACACTCTCTACTCTAGTCAACCTTCAGTCAATGTGAACCATAGACTTAACCGCGCCTCGCGCAGTATATTTAGACTTTAAACCAAACTTGTTTTCTGTCACTTGCAAAAACCAGGGCGGATACCCTTGTAAGGGTATTCGCACCGACAACGCTCTCCAAGGGCACTCTCGATTTGTATAGAGTTCACAGCCTGCAACGCTCCGGTTTTCTAACGCCCTCCCTCCTACCCCTGCTTTGGCCTTTATTTTCGTGTGTGCCTCCTGCCTCGAACATCAGAACGAGCTGGCGCTGTCATCGAGCCTTGTAGAAGGGTTGTCATGTAGCGCTGATAAATTTGTGAGTGCTACTATTGTTTTAGAGGTCTGTCACTGAGCGCACAGTGATTACCTGGAGCTGTGAGACGTGGGTGTCCTGAACTATGAGACTGCCTCCCATCCCACCCTCATGTCAATACTCCTAGCTCACCCCCTATCCTACTACCCTACCTCAACACTCACTGCTGAGTGCTTCTATTGTTCTTGAGTTTCGTGAGTGTGCCTCCTGCCTGCCCTGACCATCAGAACGAGTTGGCGCTGTCATCTAACGCTGTAGAAGGGTTGTCATGTAGCGCTGAGAAATTTATGAGTGTTTCTACTGTTCTCGAATCTGGAGTCTGAAATAAGTGGAGCGATGCCTGCCCCGACCATCAGAACGAGCTGGCGCTGTCATCYAACGCTGTAGAAGGGCTGTCATGTAGCGCTGAGAAATTTGTGAGTGMTTCTACTGTTCTCGAGTCTGGAGTCTGAAATAAGTGGAGCGGGAATCTTCTYTRTATCAAGGGTGGYAGAGGCGCCGAAGGTTCTCYGGTAGYGCTAATTTTGCRCTAATTCGAAGCACTAATTCTGCGTTGCGGTGTTAGCTTTTGGATTACCACAGAGTCGGCACTATCCGAGGACCCGAGGCCCGGGGGGCGCGGCGGACGGCACCTTCGGTGCTCTAAGTTAGCGCTATCAAGTAGAACCGGTCTGACTCGACAATTGGAGCCTCAACACGACRCCCAAGCRTCAGCATAGTCACCTCGCTCGACATCCCCGAGCAACCGACCCGGTGGGGAGGGAGGTCGACTACGTGCGAGTTAGCCTGACACCACGTGTAGAGCTGAAGAACGTGTATGAATCCTTTTACGTGAAGAGCGAAGCTACGTGTAAACTGGAGATGGGCGCGCGYCGGACAGGCGCTCGCCTTTGACGTGTGGAAGCTAGACTGGAGAACAAGAGGAGCAGCTGGAGGTGAAGTCAACAAATGAACCAAGACAACCATGAAGACCGTCCGGATTCAAATGAGGTGCCGCTGTCGGAACAATACCGTATACGAATCCTGATAGCGAAATGCTACGAAGACGGAATCTTCCCGGAGAATCTGAAACATGGGGAATTCGTCGTGGAAAACGGTGTACGAGTCTTCAAGGTGAACGCGCAGATGGACAGACTAACAACGACATGGCTTAAAGAGCGCACGGTAACGGTGATATTCCGGGGAGAGGCGAGAGACTTACCGGCCAAAACAAGAGAAGACCTCATCCGCGCATACGAGAATGGATGGTTTTGTAAGACCTTCACCAGAGGTTTCAAGAGAGGGAGAGTGCATGGGGAAGGACCGAACGTAATGTCATATGTGGCCAAGGCAAGAGAAATCGCGCAGTGGTTGATTGCCAAGGCAGATGACGTGGTGGTTATTAGAGGCGTGGAATATCGCATGTTATTTAAACCATGGATGACCAGGGCAGAATTGAAGGCACAGAGGAGACAGGAAGATGAGACGAAGTTCTGGGTGGTAGCGCTGAGAGTACCACTAAGTGCAATGTTTCATGTTGGCGACCTAGTAGCTCAATCTATGGGACCCATCATCCATCGTCATCCACCGGAGTCAGACCCTTCACGACCAAAGTTGATGAATCTGAAGTTCGACCTAGCAAGAGATGCCGAAGAAAGGTTCGAAGCCATACTTCTGATGATGCTGGAGGATGGGGAGAGGTACGAGGTACAATTTGTATGTAAATCAACACCATGGTGTAATCGGTGTCGTTGGTGGTTCCACACGGAAAACGAGGGTTGTCCAAGAGAAGGGGAGGCAGAGGAGAACGAGAGGGACGCGAGGGGCAACACGAATCGAAGACCTCAACGCGGAGATGTAGTTTTCCAACGTGATATGCGAGAGGCGGTCAGGGAGCCAGGTATGGATAGTGTTGGAAGGGAGGGGACGAGTGAAGCAGGAGGAAGAGGACAAATACAGGAGAGTTCGGGCTTGGCACGATCAGGGGAACGAGGCCATCACCACCAAGAAAGAGAACAACAACCGAGGGTCGGTGTAAATCTCCAGAGAAGGGAACCCGCCTGCCGAGGGGGGTCACCCATACCTAACAGCTATGGAATACAACCCGATGTGGCAGCAACCACAGGCAACCGGTAATATGCATGGGCGATGTACCAACACAGGTCTACCAGGATATCAATTCTTTCCGCAGTTATTGGGACCCATGCTTGCAAACCTGGGAGTCGGCAATAACTGGGGCTCAAGACCTGGGGTGGAGCGACCGATACCGACAAGAGGAGGGAGAAGGATGGAAGAACGAGTAGTCATGGAAGACGGAGTCCATAGCGTCCCAACAAAAGAAGACCGGACGAGAGCTCAAGCGGAAGAGGAATAGGCCAGCGCTTCTAATGCCATAAGCGATCACTCCCAGAACGGCAACAAAGGAACGACAAAGAAACGAACGACAATTCCAGATGGCGTGAACACACACGATGTCGGGGAAAAAGACTACGAAGAGAAACTGTTGATGCCCCTGGTTTGTACTCTACTAGGCCAGGAAACATATATCCTGGGGCTAATTAGCAGAGAAGGACAAACGATGTTGCCCTCAACTACTTTCCGGGGAATTCCGTCCCCGGAATTGGAGAATGTGCTAGTGGAACCAGGACTCTCAGCCACTTTCCTGAGGGCGATCAACGACCGGATGCCAGTGGACCGTAACCTAGAATCAGGATACATTCAGGAAGTATTGGCGGAGGAATGGCAGGGGACGAGCCCACAGCAAGACGGAGACCGAAAGACTCTTGTAGGAGGGGAGCAGATCCAAGAGACGGCCGCAGAGAACTGAACCACACATGGGGAGAATTAAGATAGGCACCTGGAACGTGAAGGGCGTGGGGGACTTGGGAGGTAGGCAGAAAGGTCACAGACTCAAGCAATGGATACACAAGAAGAATCTGGATATCGTTGTTGTCCAAGAAACTAAATTATCAGAAGCTAAGCTATCTCAACTAATGGATTGGTGGGACGGGCCTCAACTTTGGTCCCCGGCAAGGGGTACCAAGGGAGGGACAACCATTCTCGTACACAAAAGGATTGAGGCAGAGTTAGTGGACTACGATGCGGACCTATGGGGACGTTGGGTATGGCTCAAACTGAGCATCGAGGGGAGGGTGTTAGTGGTAGCAACGGTAATTTGCTAGGTTTCATTATTACAGCCCGGGTATACAACCATTCTCATTATGGATATGACCTGGTCAGAAGAGAATCAGACGGGCCCGGGTCACTTAAGGCTAAACACGCAAAACCTACAAGATGCAGGCTGGGTAGACTGGATGATCCAACACTGGCAATCATGGCAACAAACGAAGGAAACAAGGTATTCGTGAAAACTGGACTTGAAAAATAGTCCAGTTTGCAAATATGCAGTTATTTTTTATGAAAAAAAACTTTTCCATTGGCCAATATAGTTGAAATAATCGGCTGTTTTTTTCTTCTCAAAATAATAACAATTTTTAAATTTGAGAAGGCCATGCAGTAGAGGCTTCCAAGAAAAAATATTTTTCGCCAAGTCCACTTTGTTTTCAACTTTGCACTTGACATTTCTGCTCGTCTCACTGTATGTATCCGGTCTCTTAAATTAGACACTAGGATATTCTGGCACAACAGATATAGCTC